GAATCCCCAGACAGGTTTCCGACCAAAATTTCACGACTGTACAGAATTTCACTTTTGAGCTTCCCTCCTCCCCCGAAAAAAGAGGCAAATCAAAGCTTGTGTTTCCGGGTCCCTCTGCCCCGTGTCATGAGATTTCAGGCTTTTCCATTTCCACTTTGCCAAGGGCTACCCCTGGCCTGGGAGGCTGCTGTGCCACCCCCGCAAGAAACAGTTCTCTTTATAGTATTTGGGGGCAGGGGGGCAGGTCAAGGCAGAAGGTGAGACAGACCACAGCTTAGAGGTTCCATCCAGGGGTTTGTTTTGTTTTGTTTTTTTCCCCAAACGATGCAACAGCAGTTTTACAAAACAAAACCTCATTTTTGAAGCCAGATATTATCATTGGCCAACAAAATCATTTAGGCAAAGAAATCTTGGCAGGGAGGTGACTCCCCATTCCCATCCCATCAGGGACACTCCGTGCTCCTGTCCTCCACCCCCCTCACAGGGACATACAGACTGAGGACCCCTCCGCTGGCAGGGGTCTGGGCTGACTGTCCACTGTGGCCTTCCCAACATTCCCCCTACCAAGTCTAGGAGGACACCCCCCCCACCATGCTCTTATTAAAAGCCCCATCTGGATCAATTCCTGCCAGAGTCCCTAACGTGAGCCTGGGATCCCAGCCCCCTCCCAGGGTGCCTTCCTGGCTGCACTGAGGCTGTGCATTTAGCAGGAACCGGACCGAGGCTTCAGCACCCTCCCCAGCGGCCAGGCCAGGAACGGGGAGGTGGCCGGTGGGAAGGCCTCGGAGGGAAGTTCTGTTCATGCAATTAATGCAGAAAACGTCCATCCGGCACGAACTCTGGGCCAGGTTCGTCGGGGGTTACAAACAGCCTCTCCGGCAGGGCAGCGTGTTTGAGGGCCTGTGTGTGACTTCACGGAGTCAGACTAGCCTCTCCCGTAGCCTGCAGACCACTCCAAGTTCGCCAGAGAACAGGATTGGGGAAGGACTGAAGAACACCAGAGAATCACAAATATTGTCCAGAATCGCTCTCGATGGTCTCCCCCCGCCCCCGCCCCGAAACCTGGGGACCACCCTTTCTCTTCCAGTTCGGTTTTTCTCACTTCGAGTCTGCAACACCCCTCCCCCCACTTGCCCCCCCCCACACACACACACACAGCAGACAAAGGCCGGCAGGGCCTGGCCAGAAGGAGGCCCCATCCAGGCCACGACCTGAACCCTGGCTACCTTGCCGGTGCTTGCAAACGGGCCCCTGCGGCCTTTCAAAAGGAAAAAAAAAAACCACAGAAGAAAACAAAATAAACTTGTGAAAGTTTAAACTCCGTTCAACAAAGAAAGCCAGACGTTCCCACCGAAACTTCCCAAGGACCACGGGTCCGGGGACCTTCTTTCTTCCTTTTCTATAAATCTCCGTCCCTGACTGAGTTCACAGGGCCTGCGACACCCAGACACTCCAGCTCACTGTCCCAGCCAACGGGACCCTGGTCGGCCCCGAAAATAAATATTTCACATAAAAGGTCCATTGTCTTCGCTCAGAGACAATTGTTGCTTTTTCTTCCTCTTTGGCCCCATAACATCAGAAAGCATGGCTGGCGCCTTTTAGGGTTCTTTCTTGTTCCAACAAGACGTTCTGAGGGAGGCGAGCTTGCTGGGTCTTCCTGAAGGGTCGGCTGAGAGAAAATCCTCCCGAAACGGGCGTTTTGGGGCACATCCGTGCGGATCGGGCCAAACGCAATGAGCTCGACCCAGGAGGGAGACCTTCCACCCCATCCCACCACCCTGCCAGCAAGCACCGGGGAGCTCCTCAAAGGAAGGGGCACCTCTTCCGTGAGCACACCCTAGGACCCCAGGGCGCTTGGGCCCATCCAACGTGCCCAGTGACTCTCGGCCAAGCCCCCGTGCCGAGGAAAACGCGGACTTGGCCCGCTCCTGCCGGTCTCCCTTGCAAACATCACCAAGGTTCGCTTCACTACCACCTGTGGGGTGAGGCGTGCATTTCTGGGTGCCCTTCCTAGTGAAACCAAAACTGGGCTCTCTGTTTCTCACCAACTCAAAAATATAATAATAACTAGCAATAAAAACGGTGATTACCATTTACAACAATAACAATTACAGCAGTGGCAGCCATTTATGGCCTCCCTGCCACGTGCCAGGTCCCGTGCTTTGTGGAGCAAATGTCCCCCCAACCTTCCCAACAACCCTCTGAGATCAGTATTATCATTCCTGCTCTCAAGCTCAGGGCCCAGGCCCAGGGAGGCGACGTGACTTGTCCAGGGTCACACGCGGAGCCGGGGGCCAGGTTGGAGCTGCCTGAATGTGAGCTAGGACACCCCCACTTAACAGGGTTTCTGCAAGAGAATTCTCCCTTTTCCCTGAACATGCGAATCTACCCAACAAGCCCAACCACAACCAAGCATGGTGCTTTCCTGACGTTTTCCCGCCCGGCCTTGGAGGGCCTCGCGACCTTCCAGAACACTGTCCCTCAGCGGGGACACAGGCTGGTGCCTCACGTGGGGTTTCCTTGGACACTGGAAAGCACCCCCTAGGCGGCTGCCTGCCAGGGTGGGCAAAGCCCTCCAGCCCCTCGGCTTGGCACCATGGGTGGCCTCCGAGTCAGACCTGGTTCAGGCCAGGACGGAGCAGGTCCCAAGGCCCTTCTGAGGATGGGAGCAAGTGAGCCAGGTTCACAGAGTTGGCCCTGGTCAGGTGCGAGCCACACAGACCCAAAAGCAACCCCGCTGCAAAGCTCCCTGCTGTTTCGACTGAGCAAAGCAAATGCTGTCTGTACCTTGAGCCCAGCCCTCGGGGGAGGCCTCATGACCACACACGGCCCGTGTGAGCAGCCAGCCCCCACCAGCACCCTGGAGACCCCTCACCCAGGATCTAGACTGCAAGTGGCCAAAGGCTGGGCACGGCCAGACCCCAGGGCAGGCAAGGAGCCGCCCTGGTTTAAAACGAAAAGAATACCAGGGCCATCCTCCCAGCAGCCCACCCCAGTCTATGAGAACCTGTGCCCCTGCCTAGCACAGTCTATTAAATCCAGAAGTGATTAAAAAAAAAAAAAAGACAGGCACTAGTTTCGTTTTCAGAACCTCGTCTTTTGTGTGTGTGTCATCAAAAATAAAATTCTGCTTGGATAGGAGATCGCAACACGGCAAGAAGCCCCTGGTGGGACCCGAGTCTCTGCTGGAACAGAGCTGGTCCTAAGGAAAAAGGACAAAGGCAGGGCCTGCAGGGCAGCCCCACTGTTTCCTGGAGACTCAACTTGGCCACATTTCACATGCCAGGGGCACACTAAGGCCTGAGATGGGCCTCTGGGGCTTTGACAAATAGCAAACCCCCCAAAGTGGCCCTGGGGCGCATCCTTGGGTCCTCAGGCCTGTCCCTGTTCCTCGTGTCTGGGCCGCAGGACCGTGGAGAAGGAGCAACGGGTGCCCCCTCTTCTGGGATCTGTGTTCACCCTGGGGGTTGCCCAGGAGCCCCGGCAGGATGCCCCACCGTTCCCACCCAGCAGGCAATGTTACAGGTCACCTGTGGACCCGGAGAAAAGGTCTCCCACATTTTGCAGGGGAGGCACTTGGGCTTCCTGGAATTACCAACCTCACCTCGCCAAGGAGAGCTCCCACCTGGAGCGCACGCCTTCGGCAGCTGCACCCCCATGTCTGAGGTCACTCCCAAATGTCCCACTCCAGGTTTCGTGTCTGCTAACTGCCTCCCAGACAGTCATAAATAAAAATTCAAGAAGAGGGGTGGGGGATGGGAAGCGGGGTAATGGCCTAGCAAAGCAGCCCGCCAGGTTAGCCTGCAGTTCTGAAGCAAACTTACAGCCTCCGGGCCAGGGTGGGCCAGGCCTCCCTGAAATGCTCGCCTTCCTCTGGATTCCTCCCGCGAGCTGGAGAGCCAGGCAGCCTGGGAGGGAGGCACGAGGCAGGCCTGGGCTACTCAGGCCTCTGTCCACGTTCCCGGAAACGGGCCTCCAAGTGCCAGCTCACAGCTCTAGAGTATTATGGAAACAGGCTGACCCCCCCCCCCCCCAGTACACTGTGGTCAAAGCACCCAGCAAGGTTATCCAAACCACATCATAAGCTGGGGGTGATGGAGGGGAAATCGCACCTGTGATGTGACCATAATAAAAAGCAGGCCTAATCCCCACAGGTACGGGTTTCATTTTCACAGGGAAGGCACTCACAAGTACAAACATGCATTTTAAAATCCCAAACAGCGAGAACCGACGAACTGAAATAAAATGAGGGCAGTGCTGGCCTGCAGAGACTGCCCTGGCTCCTGAAACCCAACTTTAAAGAAATTCATTTCAGCATTACCTTAAAACCCCGTAATTACAGCAAATGTGCATTCCTTCACCCCTTTCTTGCTCCCCACAAAGTGGCCAGAGCCAGGGCCAGGCCTGTGTGTGAGCCACCTATAAAGAGGGATTTATTACGCAAAGTTATGAGTTGTTTTTCATTTTATGCCACCATAAACAACAGCTTCCACGCAAGGGCCTTTCACTTACCCGGCCACTGCTGCCAAGACTCGACCAGGGGCCCCCTAAATCAGCTCTCCATAAATGCAGGGCCAGCAGAAAAAAAAAAACAAGAAGCTGGGCTGGTTTAGGGAGTGAATAAAAAAATTTTCAAGAAAGAACTGTGGCTTCCAAGTAACCCTTCCAAACACATCTACCCTTTAAAAAGATGGGTCCTCTTCCCCTTCTGTTCTGTTGAAGATGCCTGCTAACGCTATTTGATGTGTTCAGCAACATCCTCTCTGGCAAACGGCCCGCACACCTGAGATCAGAAGCTGTATTTCACAAGGAATTCCAAGTTCCCGAATGTTCAAGCCGGCCGCGGAGTTCTTGCAAGCTGCTGAGACTTCAGATTCAAAAGCAAACCCTCGCGTACCCCTCGTCTGTGGAAGGCCTGCCCTACAGAAGGGCTCTTCTTAGAAATCTCTCCATTAATATTTAAATAGTCACTAAGTAGCAAAAGCGAGAAATACACTTACCGTCCTCAGGAGTCGCCTTGAACCCAACGGTGACCCGTGGCGTGCAAGTCGGCAACCGTGCCCTTGCAGGAGACCGCGCCGGACGCAGCCGGCGCTGCGCTGCCGTGCCCACCGCCGCACAGGCCCTTGGCCATCGGTCTGAGTCCTGGGCTCCAAACGCTTCCCGTCCTCGTGCGCCGCGCCAAAACGGCAGGGGAGCAGAGCGGTGCCCTCTCCCGAAACTCTTCTCTGGGCAGGTCGGCTCTGGGACGGCGCAGGCGAAGCGCGCAGCCAGGCCCCACTTCTCCAGTCCGGCACCGCGCCGCTGACTGCGCGGCTGCTCTTCTCCCGGCTCCAGCTTCCCTACTCGGAAACACCGACCCTCGCCGAAGAGTGGCCCGCCGGACCCATCTCCGCGCTCCGCGACCTGCGCCGCGAGGGACCTTTGTCCTGAACGAAAACGAAAGCGCGCCGGGCCGGGGGCGCCCACGCCCTGCGCTGAGGTCCCGGCCCGCACGCCTCGCGACTTTCTCCAAGTTCACGTGCATCCCCCGGCGGGCGGACACCGAGGGCCCGAACTTACAGCGCCGGGCCATCGGGCGCGCTGCGGCTTTCGGGCGGGCTGGGGGAGGCCGGGTGGCGCGGGCCCGAGGCACAATGGGCGCCGCCGGGCGGGCGCGGGGACAGCGCGGGCCTGGCCTCCGCGCGGCCGCTCGTCTGGCGCGGCCCGGGCGCCGAATGCGGCGGCGGCGGCTTGGCACAGACGCGCCGCGCGCCCGGTGCATGCTAATGGCCGGCGGCCGCGCCATGAATTATTCAGCAGCGGCGCGGAGAGAGCGAGCGCGGCGCGGAGGGCGGCCCGGCCCGCGCGTCCCCCGCGGCTGCGAAGCCGCCGCGGCGACTTCCCAAACTTTCCCCGGTCGGCACCGAGGATGCGGCCCCCGCTGCTCCTCCGTCCCCGCCTGAGTGCGCCGGCCGCGCTTCCCCCGTTGCCGCCTATTTTATGTCTTTTGTCTCGGAGTTGGCACCTGTCCCAGAGAGCGCGTTTCCCTGCCCACCCCTTCGCCGCCGGATCGGGGCGGGGGAGGGGGTACGGGGGACCCAGAGAGGAGGGGGCGGAGGGTGGGGGCAGCAGGGCGCCTACGGGCCACGCAGCCCCGGGAGATCGCCCGGGGGCGACGGCCATGCCCGCGAGCCCGGGCGCCCCTGTTCCGCGGGGAGGTCAGAGCTTCGGCTGTGCCCGGAATACCAACGAGGCCTCCCGGGGCCCCCGGCCATGCCCATTGCAGGCGAGGACAGGGCGCGGCCCCTCCCCGACTCCCCCCTCCGCCGCGCACCCTCCTCCAGGGGCCCGCGCGCGCGGGCGGGGCCGGCGGCGCGAGCAGCGGATTCGCCGCTCGGCCCCGCGCCTCGCCCCGCAGCCCCGCGTGCGCGCCCCCGCGGGCACGCCGCCACGGGCGCTCCCCACCCGCGCGCGCCCGCGGCCCCGCCCGCCTGCACGCGCTAGGCAGAGGGGTACCGCGCTGCGGGAACCCAGCCGTTTTTTGCTTCGCTCCCCGGAGCCCGCGTACCCAAGGGGGGGCGGCAAGAGCGAGCCCCGGCCCGCCCCAGCTGCCCTGGCACCGAGGCGGCTGCCGGAGCGCGCTCAGCGGCTGTGCTCCGAGGCCCCGGCTGCCATGATTGCGGGCAGCGGGGTGCGCGCGCGCGCTCTCGGGCCCAGCTTGGGGACCCCAGGCCGACCGACGGTCCCCGGCCTTACCGCAGCCCTGTGCGTGCCGCGGACAAGAGCCAGGGTCGCCGGGCTGGGCCTGGCGGTGGCCAATGTGCGCAGTGGAGCTCTAGACGCCAGGCTCCAGCACAGAGTTTGGGGTCGTCGGTGGCAACGGGTTCCCCCGGGGCAAGGCGCGTGTCAGGGCGACCCCGCAGGGGCGTTCTGAACACCGCGGGCCCGGCGAAGCGAGGGCCGCGGCGCCCAGTGGTGCACGGGATCTGATGAAGTGGAGGGGAGCAGTGCCCTGTGCCCAGAGATGGAGAGGTGTGCAAGGTGCCTTGCGGGGGGGGGGGGTTCCTCACGGTGCCCAGGGAGGCGTGGGATGGGCGGGGGCACCGTGCCCAGAGCCGCTGCCCAGCTCCGAGCTCGATGTCTTCCTTCCCCGCAGAAACAACCTCCTGCTCTCTGGCCCCAGGGCGCAGGAGTTGCGGGGAGAAGTTACAGGCCGCAGCTTTGCTCTCTCTGAGCCAGATGACTACTCTGCTGCCTCGGGCTCCTTCCCGAGTCCCTTCTAGGGGTCGCGACTGACCAGGCTCCAGGGTCCAGGCACCGGTTAGGATGCCAGGGAGGCCACAGCAGCTTTTCCTGCCGTCTCCGCAGGGGCGCCTGAGTGGTTTCCCCGCAGTGGGGTCGGTTTAGGCTTCTGGTGCTAGGAGACCCAAGGGGAGGGTCACTGTGCCAGAACCCCATCTTCCTGCCAGGGCATGCCCTAGGTCAGAGCCAGATGGTCCTGGCTGTCCTCGGAGGCCCGTGGCGGGTGCTCTAGAGAAAGGAGGCCTCCTGGTCCCCATTCCAATGTCTCTCTGTGCCTGTCTCCCCCCACCACCCCAGCCGGCCTTGGCATTCCAACTACAGTGTCCCTTGACGTCACATCTCGCCATTTCTGTGAACCAATTGAAACTTGCCCGTTGTCATAAAAATATATATACTTTTTATGCTATTGGTAAATTCAAAAGTTCCTCGTGTGCCCTGCTTCCCAGGAAACTCCCTTCCACGGTGGATTGGACTGCCCAGGAGGGGCAGAGAGGCCACACTGGGCAAGGCTGGGCTGGGGTGGCTGGAGCAGCTCTGCCAGGGCCTCTGCTGCCTACTGACCGCCTTTGAGGCTCCCTAGACCCCCATGACCTTGGCCTTGAATTGTGCTGAACACACACACACGCACACATCACTGCCCCCACTTTATGACATACACATGTTGGGGGAAGGGAGGGAGGGAGAGAAAAACACTAGGCTACATTTTTAAATCTTCTAAAAGTGTTTTTCTGGGTGTTAGAATGGCATTGTAGCCTCCTCTTTCTAGGGATGGCTCTTTTTTTTTTTCCTACGAGAAAATTCAGCTGTAGAAAATGGAGTAGAAATGTTTTCCAGTTAATCTTTTCATCGAAATCCTGACCAACTTTCACTTTCCACGGCTGCTGACAACCCACAGAGACAGCGCGAACCCGGGTGATTTCACAAAGGGGTGGGTTTCCCTCCTTCTGAGGCAGATCCAGGGTGGCCCTCTAGGCTCCAAGGACCAGGGGTCTGGAGCTGGAAGTCCGAGTGTTCTGGGCCCCTTCCTCAGCACAGGATGGCTCCTGGCAGCCTGAGGCTGAATGAATGCTGTACCCAGGTTCTGGCAGCGCAGTGGGACAAACCTCTCTCGTCGGGCCCAGTCCTTTACAGTTTTCTTCACCATCGTAATCCCCCATCCAACAAGGACGAGTGGGGTAAGAAAACACGTCCCTGTGAGAGAAGCATGTCGGCCAGTTGTAAAGCCACACATCTCTCTGTCTCCCCTCCTGCTCTGGCCACACCAAGGAAGAACCCGACCACTAACTGCCATTATAAATCCCCCTCTCTCCCATCTTTATACTGTATGGTTCAACTACTTTAAAAAAACAGATTAAAGACATTTCGTGGTTTAGTAACTTTGGGGGCTGTGAAGCAACAAAAATGCTTTAAAGACTGGGCTGAAGGCAGAGATGTAAACATTGTAGGTACCGGGCCTTTTCATACCAAGTCTTGTTTTTCCAAAAGAATGATCAGGCTGGGTAACAACCGAATGGGGATTTTGCAAATAAATACATGGTTACGATTCTCATGTAAAACCGTGGTCACACACAGAGCCTAGAAATGGTGCTTTGAAATATGTGCGCGTGTACACACACACACACACGTGCGGGCACACACACCACACCGATCCAACAACCACACTGTGATCTATTTATAATCACTTTCTTAAACGCTAGAAATATTGTAACTAATGTGATATATGTTTTGTGATTAAATGGGTGGATTAAAACATTGAATTAAAAAAGCCACAAAGAAAAAGAGATTATCCTCCATTATGCCACTTACAACTTTTGTTCCAGGGGTACAAATAAGAATTTGACAACTGTATCATTACAGAAGGCATTGCCGAGACGCCAGGATATTAGCTTTGTCATTTCACCTGAAATCATTGTATAATCATACCACTAGCTAACCTTTTTATTAGCTGATTTTCACCCCCTGCTCTTCCACAGTCATAAGTTCATTGAATGCCTTTTCCCTCCTCCCAATTTTTATCTGGTAAAATGAGAAACTGGGTGAGTCAGAGCCATATTCGAGAACACATACTCTTTTTGAAAACCCCCTCTTGCTTAGCATGGATTTAGATACAACCTGGTTGCAAATGCAGAAATCAAATCCCACTTTATTCCAAGAAAATAATAGCGCTCCAGTGATTCCACGGGCTTCTTGGGGTTGGTTTTTTAAAGTCTTTCCCCAAGTCGCTCCCATCGCGTTCGGAGTAGATGGTATAAAACAGGGTGCTGAAGTTGGTGGAAACGAGAGCCCGAATATTTGTTTTGTTGACGCGTGTTATGATGGATGCGTTTCCCGGGGAGGGACTTGGTCTGCACTGCGGGCCACACGGAGCCTGGGGTCAGATGTTTGAAAAATAAGTCACACGAAGGCTCTCGCTATACCAGGATGTTTATAGTATCGGCCTCATACAGTTATTTTTTCCTGATTTCTCCCAAGATCTGCCTAATGGGAATGCAGCCGGCGACTTCCTGCTCTGCCGCCGGGCCCCAGCGTCCTGGCTCAGCCTTCGGCCACGGTCCAGCCTCCGAAGGCCGGGCCACTTCAGCTTAGCTTCCCTTTTCCCAGCGTGGGGAGCATTCAGCAGTTCAACATTTTCTGTGTCCAAGGCATTCGCGGAGTTAGTCAACAGATGCATTTAATAATTCAGGCAGTAGGATAAGTGTGAGTGAAAACTTACATTTTTTTCACTTGGGTTTTGAACATGCAACCAGTACACCCCAGAATAATGCTGATTTG